GAAGAGAACTCAAAACATGAGTATTAAGTTAATTGTTTTCATACACTTTAGGACATGTCATAACAGACATATGCTATTGCATCCTTCATTTACTTTATGATCATATCTTAAAGTAATCTGATAATCATTCTGTATTCATTAYATGTGAAAGTAAACTTCCATAGCTAAGCTGATACTATACTAAGCTGCACAATAACTAGAATGGGATTATTCATCTTAACTGTTTCTGCTATTAAACTAATAACTGCATTAAAAGTAATAAATCTAGTATGATGAGAACGAACGGCTTAGTTAATATCTACACAGACATTATATTAAAACCTCTCAGTTATATTAGGATGATATCTCACATGTATCAATAACTCACCTGTATCCTGTATTGGTTGACTCTAGAAGTACACCAAAGGTAAATATTTCACTGYGGACAGGTGTTAGTATATAAGAGTTGAGTATAATGTTAACAATAACTGAGTGAAATACCAACCACAGATGGGCTGGTAGTCTATAAACAAGTATGCTGCATTATGTGTCATGGATCTCATTAGCAAAACTTATAATATTATTGCCAATCTGTTGTGTTTTAATTGATATCCAGAAATGAATGATTCTTTTTGGTAGCCAATGCATTCCCAAAAGAGCCAATTCTCTTAAAATAACATTCAATTAAAGTCTAGTGATACTGCTGTGCATTGTAACATGCATATATAGCTTCACAATATTCCAACTCCACTTTGAAACAACAAACTATTACCATCAGGGTACAAACTATAAATGTATACAAAATTAGAAGCTTCTCCGATTGAATTTAGCATATTTACTTCCAAACCTGTGTTGCACATATTTAGTGTTTATACTCTATTATTGCTGCTTATCTGTAGTTGCCTCCTTATACTGTACATGTATGGTAAGCCTCTTAGCTGTTGTTTACTTTAGTACCAGTACCCGTCATTTGATCTCTCCTATACATGTTGGCAGATGTAAAAACATAAAACAATGAATAGAATTTGATTTGAAATCCAAAATTTGGCCAATACTATTTATCAAACCATTCTCTTTCTGACTTCATTGTTTTCGGTCTTTCTTTGATAAACAGCAACGATGATTGTCGCAAGACCAAAGAAATGCGGTTTCCTTGCCTACCTTGTTCTTCATTGGTTTCTTTTGTCTTATTCTATCTTATATACACTCCTTTCTACCACCTCTTTCTCTTTGACTCTGACAAAGGACTAGCATCCGAAACGTCAGTTTTTTCATCTTTTCACGGTGTATAATTTACCTTTTTATCATAAATGATTACTGTTTCATTAGAAACACCGACGCAGCTCACACTAGTTTTTAGCTAGTTATATCTTCTATCTATTTATCAAACTGTTGACTAAAATCATGAACAGTCTCATCTCTGATGTTTTACCTTATTTTTTCTTTGAACCAATGGAATTTAATTAATAATTGAAATACCAGCAACTTAAATTCCCCTACAAAAGCTTTCAAGATATTTTTGAACAGAACAAGGCCATTAGTATAACTTTGTGGTAGTTGAATAGGCAATGAGACAACTTTAACAAACTTAATTGAAGAAAATTGCAGAGTGAAAACACTTATTTTTAAGATTCTTATCACATAGTTATCTTACAAGCACATAGTTATCTTACAAGCACCTAGCTCATAACCGATGTTAACACGTCAGACTGGAATACCAAAGACATGGGTTTGATTCCTGCCAAGGGCATTTGATATTTTTCTCTTATTCTCTCTATTTCATTACTCACACCAAACGCATAATTTATTACTGCTATACTATTTACTATTCTTTGCGTACATATTTAAGGTTACACATCAGATTGGAATACGAAAGATGTGGGTTCAATTCCCACCAAGGGCATTTGATATTTTTCTTTTATTCTCTCAAGTTCATAGTTTAGTATAGGAATTCATCATTGGTTTATCATGCATATTGCGATAAGAACATGAGGAGCACATAAGCTCGCAATTATCTATGTTTTGTGATATACGATTATTTATTTGTAACATTATATGTACAGTGTAATAGTGGAAAACATTTCTCGGTGATAAGTGACTTCCTTAAAAAACTCAGCATGATGCCTTATGGGAAACCCCCTTGAATTCTGAAAATGATGATCTAAATAATAATAGTAATGGCTGAAACATTCATTATATTACTCAAAGCTCTCCTGTTCAGGTTTTCTTATGATGTACTCGTAAATATGTTAAAACTGAATATTTTTTTTCTACCATTAGCTGTTAGTGATCCATGTGTTTTCCTGTATGCATACATACAAGTGTACATATAAAATGCACTTGTAACATACAAGCAATTATACATAAGCAACACTGATGATGCAAGTCAATGGTTTCTACCTTTTCTGTGTTGATTATTATTTAGTTTTGAAAATAAAACAAAAGAACAAGGTTTACATTTGATATCAAAATTTCCTTGCATAAAAATCAACTGTTTTCCTTTTTCTAATAAATTACTCTTCAAAACAATGTCTTGTAAAAATATCTTTGTATATATTATACAATTAGACAATGTAATATATATTACACTCTTTTCTATCCATGTATTACTGCTTTAGCGGGGTTCTGTCAATGTTGGAGTAGATTCAATGTATTGATAAACAAACGACTGTTGCGTCTTTTAGAGTAATTYTAAATAACGTGAAACGTCAAGAATGACTGGAGAAAGTTCACTTACAATGTTCTAAAATGTAGTTTCATAGAATACAAAGTCCAGTGTAGTGTTCCAGCAGCCAAGGAGAAGATGATCTTGGAACCACTAATCAACATCACGTGTGAACAATCCATGGGTGAAAGATGTCATTGGAAAAATACACTAA